AGGTTGAGAGGCCAGGTTTCCACCTTCCATTCTTTCAATTTCAATTATGATTGATTCATTTTCTTCTTCAAATTTGCTTTCAGAACTGGTTTCAGGCGTATTGGTGAAGCCAATATCGTATCCAATCTGTCCACTTGATCCAGAGTCTTCCTTAGATTCACTAGAGAATGAAGGAGCAAGATGCTGTGCACATGGACTGGGATGTTTTCTTGAAGAAGAAAGTTTTTATGCTAAAACCCTTGAAGGATTCTGAAGGTCAAAAATACCGTATTACAAGTACACTTCAATAATTTGATCATTTGGCCAGTGTATGGAGACATATAATAGGTAAACTGAATTAGTGTTTCTCACTTGTTGTGAGAAAAATATTGTAGAAGGGCACTAAATTATAGAATAGTAATGAAAACACAATTATTTTACATCTTAATTCCCTACTTGCATGGTCGTAGGCCCAACATGACTCGATGGTCGTGTTTCAAACAATGCAGTTGTAAGTCCAACTGTACTGAATGGTTGCCTTTTAAAATACAATGTGATATATGCATGTAATTTTTGTTTTATGTTCAAATTTTGCATGTGCACTCACTATTGGACTAGAAACAATGTAGAATTTTTTCAATGCTGTAACTCAATCTGATTTTCCCACCATAGTCCAATAAAGAGTGGGAAAGTTCAACAAGTGAATGGCACCACAGATTCCCAACAAGATCAGTGCTGTACTGTGCAGTTGGCAGCAAAGAGTAGAGTTGCACCACCAAAACAAAGGAGGGATGCTCACTGAACATGTTCAAAACAACTAGCACCAATTCCTTATCATGACAATAATATTACAGAGCATGTGTGAAAGGCATTTGAAGTACATTATATGTATATCATGCAGGGTTGGCAATGATTAAATCAAAATGATTAAATCATGTGATTAAATCACTTGATATTTTTATGAAAAAATCATGATTTTTTATTTTTTCGATTTTTTTTATTTTTTTGATTTTTTCATATATTTAAAAATATTGAGTGGCAGTCTTTAATTTATATTGAGGTACTGTTATTCATGGTTTGGTATAAATGTACTATGAATGACAAATTGGTATTAAAACTTGTTGCCTTTAGTGTGTATTAGGTCCTAATAAATGGAATGTTTTTGGTACAGAGGCATCAAGTGTGCAATACATTGTACGTAGCTAGCAGCTTAGCCAATTCTTATAAGGCTATAAATAGTCTTAACTATTTGACTATTTGTTATATATTGATTACAATATACAATTTAAATGTGTTAGCTAGCTTATAAAGGGTGGGGCAGAACTGATTGAACAGTTTTGAGGTGAAATAAAAGAGTAACGGAGGTACATAAAAAAGAAAGTTTATTTTCCTCATGATTAGCATAACATACCATTTAAAATACTTATGTTTTGAAAACAATATCAGGAAAATGGGGTTTGTTAGCTGCATCGCACTGTTGGAGTTGTTCTCGGAAGTTTTCTATAGCATGTTCACACATATGGCGAGGTATGGCCATAACCTCTGCTGCAATAATCTGTTCCCTTAGCTGTGGTAGGGTGTGAGGGCGACTTCTGAACCACTTTCTTTTAGATGTCCCCAAAGAAAGAAATCGCAAATGCTCAAATCAGGTGACCTCGCAGACCACTGTAAATCACCCCTCAGAGACACCAGACCTACGGGAAACATGCGTTTCAAAACATTGAGTGACATTCTAGCTGTGTGAGCTGTAGCCCCATCCTGCTGGAACCACACGTCTCTCAATGCTTCATTTTCAACAATGTTTTCCATCATGGGCTGCAAGAAATTTAGCAACATTGCAGCATAACAATTGGAATTCACTGTCATGGTTACTCCCTCCTCTGAGACTGACTCCAACAGTGTGTTGCAGCTAACAGCCCCCATCTTCCAGATATTGTTTTCAAAACATAAGTATTCTAAATGGTATGTTACGCTAACCTCTAGGAAAATAAACTTTCTTCTTTATGTACCTCCATTACTCTTTTATTTTACCTTAAGACTGCTCAATTGGTTCTGCTCCACCCTGTATATTGAGAGGTTGAGATTGTATTGACCTTTTAAGTTAAATGGTCAATATTTAGCTCATTACCTTGCTCCATACAAACTTTACAAAGCTAATGAATAGACTTATCAATAATTGTTTACCCAAAAATCCCCAAAGTGGTAAACACCACCTTGGCCTGTTGGCCCTTATTCGATGCAATAAGTGCCCTTTTTAGCCATCTATTATGATCCATATACTGTTATTGTTAGTAGGCTAATTGCAACATAAAAATAACACCTCAAAAAAGATGAAAAAATCAAAAAATCAAATAAATCAAAAAATCATGAAAAAATAAAAAAAATCATTGATTTTTATTTTTTTGATTTTTTAAAAAAAATGAAAAAAATCGCCAACCCTGATATCATGATAACTATGATACACCTTGTCGTTAAAAGGTTATCAACATCATAGGTCATTACAAAATTGTGCATAGAATGTCACAGATAGAATTGTGCTCCAGGCAACATAGAATTATAAGTAATTAACTTAAACTATGCTCTATTTCTCCAAAAAATATGGTGGTTGTCACTAAAATATTCCTTTCTGTTTCAAGTATTTTTTTACAATTTTTTTTATTATTGTGAATTTATTCGGATGGATGGATGGACAGACAGAAGGATGAACATGATGAGCACAATACCGGTAGCACATTTTTTTCCATAAATGAGAAAATGCGCTTAAAAGGCTATACAGCTGCTGATATGAAGCTTGCAGTGGGCAAGGTTGTTGTAAATGCTCAATGGCATGTTCATGGATCAGGGTTGGCATTGATTATATCAAGCTGATTAAATCATTTGTTTTTTTATAAAAAAACATGATTTATTTGATTTTTTCAATTTTTTATTTTTATTTTTTTATGTATTTAAATATATTGAGTGGCAGTCTTTAATTTATTCTGAGGTATTGTTATTCATGATTTAGTATGCATGTACCTACTATGACAAATTGGTATATAAACTTGTTGCCTTTAGTGTGTATTAGGTTCCAATGAATTGAATGTTTTTGGTACAGAGGCATCAAGTGTTGCAATACATTGTACACAGCTAACAGCTTAGCTAATTCTTATGAGGCTATAAGTAGTCTTTAACTAACTATTTGACTATTTTTTATTTATTAATTATAATATACAATATAAATGTATTAGCTAGCTTATACATGGTGGAGCAGAACCAATTGAGCAGTTTTGAGGCAAAATAAAAAGTAATGGAGGTACATAAAGAAGAAAGTATATTTTCCTTGAGGTTAGCATAAAATACCATTTAAAATACTTATGTTTTGAAAACCATATCAGGAAGTTGGTGTCCTGTAGCTGTATCACACTGTTGGGTTCATTCTTGGAAGTTTCCTACATCACGTTCACACGTATGGCAAGTTAAGGCCATAACCTCTGCTGCAATAATCCATTCCCTTAGCTGTGGTAGGGTGTGAGGGCGACTTCTGAACATCCTCTCTTTAAGATGTCCCCAAAGAAAAAAATCACAAATGCTCATATCAGGTGACCTCGCAGGCCACTGTAAATCTCCCCTCAGAGACACCAGACAACCGGGAAACATGCATCTCAAAACATTGAGTGACATTCGGGCTGTGTGACCTGTTGCCCCATCCTGCTGGAACCACATTTCTCCCAATGCTTCATTTTCAACAATGTTTTCCGTCCTGGGCTGCAAGAAATTTTGCAATATTGCAGCATAGCATTTGAAATTCACTGTCATTGTTACTCCCTCCTCCGAGAATGACTCCCAACAGTGTGACGCAGCTAACGACCACCATATTCCAGATATTGTTTTCAAAACATAAGTATTCTAAGTGGTATGTTCTGCTAACCTTGAGGAAAATAAACTTTCTTCTTTATGTACCTCTATTACTCTTTTATTTTGCCTCAAAACTGCTCAATCAGTTCTGCCCCACCCTGTATATTGAGAGGTTGAGATTGTATTGACCTTTTAAGCAATTAGAAAGATTTTCCACCCTAATATGAGTATTCTAATTGAAATATTTAATTTCAATCTTTAAATATGTCAATTTAAAACTAGAAACAAAACAATTACAATTATAAAACTATATATAAAATAATTAAATGCAGTGAATGGAAATATTAGGTTTGAATTGTGCACATGTTTATTTAAAACAGTATTAGCTTTTCTCATAACATTAGTCTTGTTTCAAGTCATTCAAGGTTTGTTAGGTTATCGTTCAGTTTATGTTTGGTATTGGTTTATTGGTCTGAATCAAATGGGAACAGTGCAGTAAGTCACTCAGTCACTAGGTACTAGTTGGTGTGTTTAGAGGGTAGAGTCTGGTAGATTTATTGGACATAAAACTAGTAGATCTATTGATAGTGTTTTGCACTGTGCTATCAGCTACCTATCTGTTATGCGACTCTTCAATGTTTAGAAGATCTGCATTCCTAAAGTGTTTTTATATATTGAAGTCAGTTAAATGGTCACTATTTAGCTCATTACCTTGCTCCATACAAACTTTACAAAGCTAATGAATAGTCTTATCAATAATTGTTTACCCAAAAGTCCCAAAATGGTAAACACCACTTTGGCCATTCTTGAAGGCAATAAGTGCCATTTTTAGCCATCCATTTTAATTGATATACTGTTATTGTTAGTAGGCCAATTGCAACATAAAAAATAACATTTCAAAAAGACAAAAAAGCTGAAAAAAAATAAAAAAAAATCATGAAAAAATTTAAAAAATCACCAACCCTGTCATGGATACTCTAGTATCACACCAATAATATGACAGTGTATGGATGTGGTAATGTATCAATAAAGGAAAATAAAGTAAAAATCACAGAAAATGTCATCTATTCTACATCTACATTGTAAGGGGAGGCGTTTGGTCCCGGTAAGTTTAATATTTATATTAAGGAGGTAGATGGTACAGCGGTGGACAAGACTGGCATGTAAGGCTACTGAAACCACCTGGGCACAGCTTAGAGAAATATATTATGAAACACTGAAACCAGCATACAACCAACAAAGTGTGCAGACACCGCCAGTTGGTGCAGAGTGAAATGGGGTTAGTAGTGGTATGATGGTATGGCAGCAGCAAGGCACGCTAGCAGTTGGAGCTTGCACGTTAACAACACAGCCGAAATCTCGCAAAATCACCAGGCCCTCAGTCCTGGTTGCAGCTAGCAAATCGCAAGTCCTAATCACTAAAACAAAAGAACCAGTTAAACAAGGTCACCCACACGGGCTGACATCACACAAGATACAAATGGCAAACGCATGGTCAGGCAATAAAATCAATCCCTAATTACCATCTAAAATTGCTTGTTTCTTTTACTAGAACATCACAATAAAAACATATTTGCACTGGCACAATAATTCCGGACAATGTGAAAATTAGTTCAGCAAGTCTCTCCTCTGTGTGCTCCACTAAGGTTGAGGCAGGTTACTCAAAGGAATCACGGTTCTCTCAGTGCTTGTCAACAGCCCGCCACAAGGAGCAATCCAATTTCACTTGCTGCACTGGAGTCGTGGTGAAGGATGCCCTTGGATTCAGTTTAATTCCCAGGTTTTTCTAGACTCAACTCTTGATGCCCTACAAGTGAACGAAATGCGGGAATTGGCTTTAGTGCACGACAGGAGAGCAAGTGACAGATATACAAGTATGTAACATAATAAAATATAACGCAATAAATGCATTGGCACACATGACACAATTATAAATGTAACACAAATGGGTGAATATATAAAAGAGTGGGAGCATTAAAACCTGGTTCAGGCAAATGTTACTACTCACCCATAAAGGGGCAAAAGCAGGCAGGCAATCAGCAAGCAGCAGGATCAGGCAAGGCACGTCGCAGCATCAAATGTCTGGTAAACTTGCATCAATTCCATCAACCACGGCACAGGGATAAGCTTAAGGCTGGCACAAATACATGCACTGACTCAAAAGATCTATCTGAGAGTGATTCACATTCATGAGTCTGGAAAGAGAGAACACAGGTGAGTGGAAGGAATGCATGGCGCAGCAAGCTGAATAATGATACACAAGCCACACCACTACGCCACACCACTACAACATCATCTATAAAGGAAAAGGACTTCAGATTACTGTTAGTAATAGATAAGTACACTCTGCATGCTTCAAACGTTTTAAAATTAAGTTTTATTTCAAGTGTCCCAGATCAGGGGTAATTCAGGATGCTTTTATTTTGCATCTGGCACCTTACGAATAGCACATGGAATTTTTTGAAGATGCCATACAATAGCCCTCACAAAGAGCTATAAAATGCGCCCAAACTTGTTTGTGAAAAGTTTCATGGCAAAAAGTTGTTAATGAAAAACGCTCAAAACTGTCCCTTATTACCCTGTGACAGTATGTTTCCTATGGGTACTGACGCAGAACCTGCAACCATTTGTTATAAATTATGCTTGAAGTGTTGGCTTTCCTTCTTATTTTCTTCAAAGTTGAGAGCATTATTTGGAAAAATTCTTGCTCACATATTTTTCTCATATTACCATGTGGCATCTCTTGGGTGCAAAAGACTTCTTTTCAAATGTCACTGTGAATTAGCACATAACCTTGCTTATTACCCAGCAATTTGTGCGAATATCTGCAAAATTGCACTTTTTTTCCTGTCAACAAGTCTTTGAAAATACAACAAGTCTCTGCCTATTTTTAACTTTTGGTTCACATTTCAGGAGTTGTTGAATTCCTTGGTTAATCCACCACATGCCATCGGCAACAAAGCCTTAGAATTTTGCCCCCAGACCTCAGAAGAGAAAAAAATTGCCATTCTTGTGGTTGAAAAGTGGCTATTCTGAAGCAGTGCTCAGTTGAGCATTTATTATATATTTAATAATTTTTTTAGATTTAGTGGTTCCTTTGTGTTTGCTATTAAGCCCTTTCATCTGTTGGTAAGGATTTTTGGAAAATATTAGAAGCAAGAATTTGTAGTTCTTGAATTATTTGATGTCCAGGCAGGCATGATATCTCCTTCTTGATGAAATAATAAAAGGCCATTTGAAATGAAGTTATTATTCAGCTACCATATACTGATTTATATAGTTTTTTTCAGTCATGGAAAGGGATGCCAGTTTTAATGTCAAAATCAAGACAGAACATGATGAAACAAACTACTGTATACCAGTAAAGCCTGAACGAATCTTATTTGATGACGAGGTAGGTAAAGCTGTAAGATGTGTAGATTGATTTGATTAAATTTAGTTGTGAATATGAAGCACCAGTTATATGGCTTATATATTTTGTATACAACAAGCATTGATACAAAGTAGTTCCTTATCCTCTTTCTAACTGTCTCAGATTAGGTGCAACAATGCTCTGAATAAGAATTTTAGATTGGCTTTTTCAAGTTAAAGTGATGAATTATGCAATTGATCTAATAGAAGTAGATAATAGATAACTTATCAGTTATTCTGATAAAAATTACTGAATTTTATTTAGCCTCTTGCTCTCCTCTCAGGATTTTTCTGAAGAGCTCCCCAGCTTTTGGAGAGGCAAGTTTGAAGATCTTGACTACCAAGACCAAGCCGAATGCTCCTCACCCAGCCTGCCAGACATCACTCTTCCGTCAGTAGAACAGGTACTTATATAATTACTTGTACTTTAGAGGCAGCACTGTTGAAATTAAGTAGAACAGGTACCTATATAATTACTTGTATTTTAAAGGCAGCACTGTTCAAATTAGAAATGTTCAAGTGTAAGGGTTACCGGGAAATGTTAATGAAAGTGAATTTGCTGGAGAAGTTCAATGGCTTCCCTCAAATCTGACAATCAATACTGAATTTATGAGATTTTGATGAACTGGGTAAATTATTTCATTCTTTGTTTCTGAAGGATTATTTAATAATATAATTGCATTCCTGCGTTTGGTATTTTTTTTTATTTGAGACGAGACAAGACAACAGGCTCTGTCCCGGTTCGCAATAAAAACCGGGACAATTTTCAGCCCTCCGTAGGAATTCCGGGACGATACCGAGACGAGACGAGACATCCCGGTTAAAATAGGTAGCTCGGAATTTATAGGTTATCCCGGAATTTATAGCCATTTTAACGAAACATAACGAGACGAATCAATTATTGATGTGGTGTCAACTTTGGCTTACCATCGTACATTTATACAGAGCTGGGCAGCGCTACTTTGAAATGTAGAGGCCGCTACCGCTCCCGCGACCGCTACATGCTCTAAATGTAGCGGGCGCTACCGCTACAATTGCTTGCGCCGCTACAATTGCTTGCTACCGCTACAATTGCTTTCAGTAGCGGTAGCGCCGCTACCGTTACTGAAAATGTAGCGGCCGCTTCATATAGCGCGCTACTGCCCCCCTCTGGTAACATTTAACATGTTGACACTAGTAACAGGCTGAGGTTGACAACATTACACCGAAATCTTTCGTACAGTTTTATTCTGTAATTTATATTATGTATCATGCTGGTTTTTAAATAATATTTAATACTATGAAGTAAAATCTAAAGGCTTTATCTATAAATGTAGCGGTAGCGCTGTTGCGGCAAAACCTCGTATCGCTACTTAAATATGTAGCGGGATAACTTGAGACGTATCCTTTTACTATTCTGATTGGAGCTCGGCAAGTGAAATGATTTTTGCTACGAATACATGTTGTGGTTTAATATGGTACTTCATCTTGACAGGCAAATAGAAGTGGAAAAACACGTTTTTGTTAAAAAATTGTGTTCTATGGTTTGGAGGAGGCCATACTAGCTGTAGCTAGTGACATCGGCTGACTGGACAGACTTTGATTTGCCTCCAGCTCAATCACAGATTCAGATTCATCGATCTTGCCTTAATCAATCTCCTTCAAAAAAAAGTTTGGAAAGAAATTTCAACAACATGTTAAAATACAACCAAATTTAAGTTGGAAAAAATATAATAGTTTGATCTTCAAAAAAGAACTCGACATATCCATGTGTATCCTTTCTAAATAACGTTAAACAAGCGTTTGATAAAAATTCAGGAAACTGCGCAATTGTGAAAATTTCCTGGAGGCGTAGCACAAAATTTTACTAAAGGCAGAGATAATCTAAAGCTAGCTTTAGTATTATTAGGAATATATTACCAGGACTCCACTCCACTGTCTACTAATAGGCAGAGCTGGGCAGCGCTACTTTGAAATGTAGCGGCGCTACCGCTACCGCTACATGCTCTAAATGTAGCGGGCGCTACCGCTACCGCTACACCCACTAGATTGTAGCGACCCTACCGCTACAGTAAAATGTAGCGCCGCTACATTAGCCGCTAAAATGGCCAAAATTGTCGGAAATCTCTAAATATTTATTGTTCTGCTATTGGGATTTACTCATAAACATTTAATATAATAAAACATTTTCAAAGCATATCAATGCAACTTTATTGCAATTAACCTAACCGAACTAGTACTGGTTAGATACAGTAAATAAAAGTTACAGTTATTTTTATGTTTTACCTTTCTTACATGGATGTCTACTTTAATCTACCAATCTCAAAAATTATCCACATATACATATGAAAATCAGTCTTTTATTTGTATATACAGGTTGTCCCAAAATAAACGATACTCAACTTTGAATGGCTGTAACTCTAAAAGTAATAGAGTTAAAAAAATTTTGGATGGTTAGTATTTGTTCCCTATGTTTTTCTTCATCTCTCCACCAAAAATCAGACAGACTTGAACAGTATTCCAGATATTGAGGAGCGCCCAGTCAGCTCGAAGTTAACATGTTTTGAAATACACAAAGAAGAGGTTCTCAAGCGCCTGGTAGCTCTAAATCCCAACAAGTCATGTGGACCAGACGGCTTCCATCCCAGATTGCTCAAAGANGTTTGATAGAACTTTCAGTGACATGTGCTAAAATCGTGCTTGCGCAAAGTTTCAGTAAGATCATTTTGCATAATCATTATATTGTCATGACATGTTTTCTTTTCGCTGTTTTATTTTTTGTATCTTTGGTGAGACAAAAACAAGGCAATCTTTGGTGAGAGGCAATCATGACAACCTTTGGTGAGAGACAATCATGGCAATCTCTGGTGAGACACAATCATGGCAATCTTTGGTGAGACACAATCATGGCAATTTTTGGTGAGACACAATCATGGCAATCTTTGGTGAGACACAATCATGGCAATCTTTGGTGAGACACAATCATGGCAATCTTTGGTGAGAGGAATTTCAAAACCAAAGATTGCCTCTCACCAAAGATTGCCTTTCACCAAAGATTGCCATGATTGTCTCTCACCAAAGATTGCCATAATTGTCTCTCACCAAAGATTGCTTTGATTGTCTCTCACAAAAGATTGCCATGATTGTGTCTCACCAAAGATTGTCATGATTGTCTCTCACCAAAGATTGCCATGTTTTTGGCTTACCAAAGATACAAAAAATAAAACAGCAAAAAGAAAACATGACAAGACAACGTAATGATTAGTAAAATGATCTTACTAAAACTTTGCGCAAGCACGATTTTAGCACATGTCACTGAAAGTTCTATCAAACGCTTATGGCTAGATCGATCTGTCTGATTTTTGGTTGAAAGATGCAGAAAAACATAGGGAACAAATCCTGACCTTCCAAAATTTTTCAACTCTATTACTTTTTGAGCTACAGCCATTCAAAGTTGAGTATCGTTTATTTTGGGACACCCTGTATATATGTGGATTATTTTTGAGATTGGTAGATTAAAGTAGACATTCATGTAGAGAAGGTGAAACATTAAAATAACTGTGTAAAAATAACTGTAAGCAAACTGAAACATGAAAAAATACCTGTAAGTGGTAACTGGTAACAAGTAACAACTAACATGTTGACACTAGTAACAGGCTGAGGTTGACAACATTACACCGAAATCTTTCGTACAGTTTTATTCTGTAATTTATATTATGTATCATGCTGGTTTTTGAATAATATTTAAATATTTAATACTATTAAGTAAAATCTAAAGGCTTTATCTATAAATGTAGCGGTAGCGCTGTAGCGGCAAAACGTCGTATCGCTACTTAAATATGTAGCGGGCGCTACCGCTACATTGCCTTAAATGTAGCGCCGCTACCGCAACTGAAAATGTAGCGGCCGCTACATGTAGCGCGCTGCCCATCTCTGCTAATTGGCCGACTAATCTAGACACAGCGTCCCTACTCCCTATACGCTCCATGGCGCCTGAACTCGTTCCGAACGCGTAATGAACTCGACTCGTACTCGTACGGTTCCCATAAAATGCCATCGAAACCTTACTTGAGACTTGAGAGCAACATTTTTTACTCAATACTCAGCCTTACATCGACAGGTTTGCGGTGTTTGTCGGACCACTAATTAACTGCAATATCAGTCCGTCAGACAAATTTTGATAAATCTGCAATTAACTCAATTTAACTGGTAACTGTCTATGGCCCTATATTGGCAATAAAGGGCTAACTTGTCATTCTTCAACCCATGTTTTCGAAATGATTCGTATCGTAATCGAAAAACTTGTTTTGTCTTAAATAATTAAGACAAATCTCGTCTCGTCTCGTTATGTCTCGTTTCAAGTCTGTCTGTCTCGTCCCGGTTCATAACTTACCGGGACACAAGTTTTAAAGTCCGGGACAGAAGTCTTGTCTCGGTTCATACGTTTATTCCGGGACAAATTTTACCCTCTGTCCCGTTATTTTTTTCCCGGAATTTTCTCGTCTCGTTTCGTCTGTCCAGGTTCATTTTGAGAAAATTATTTCGGGACGCAGGAGTCTAGACTCTCAGATTAGGTGCAACAATGCTCTGAATAAGAATTTTAGATTGGGTTTTTCAAGTTAAAGTGATGAATTATGCAATCGATCTAATAGAAGTAGATAATAGATAACTTATCAGTTATTCTGATAAAAATTACTGAATTTTATTTAGCCTCTTGCTCTCCTCTCAGGATTTTTCTGAAGAGCTCCCCAGCTTTTGGAGAGGCAAGTTTGAAGATCTTGACTACCAAGACCAAGCCGAATGCTCCTCACCCAGCCTGCCAGACATCACTTTTCCGTCAGTAGAACAGGTACTTATATAATTACTTGTACTTTAAAGGCAGCACTGTTGAAATTAAGTAGAACAGGTACCTATATAATTACTTGTATTTTAAAGGCAGCACTGTTCAAATTAGAAATGTTCAAGTGTAAGGGTTACCGGGAAATGTTAATGAAAGTGAATTTGCTGGAGAAGTTCAATGGCTACCCTCAAATCTGACAATCAATACTGAATTTATGAGATTTTGATAAACTGGGTAAATTATTTCATTCTTTGTTTCTGAAGGATTATTTAATAATATAATTGCATTCAAAACAAATTATTGAAACATCATTGGAGCAATTCCAGCCACTGAACTGCCTGAAGAAATTCAATGACTTGAGGTTTTGCATTTTACTGAACATTTTTATTTGCAAACAGTTGAGCAGCGAGCAGTGGTGCTCTTCCAAGACAGCACCACAGGACAGTTCTGGCTGTGCCTCTGCCGAATCCCCCGACTCTGGCAAATCCCCTAACCCTGGGGAATCCCCAAACTCTGCCGAATCCCCCAACCCTGAGGAATCCCCAAACTCTGCCGAATCCCCCAACCCTGAGGAATCCCCAAACTCTGCCGAATCCCCCAACCCTGTGGAATCCCCCAACTCTGCCAAATGCCCAAACTCTGCCGAATCCCCCAACCCTGAGGAATCCCCAAACTCTGCTGAATCCCCCAACCCTGAGGAATCCCCAAACTCTGCCAAATCCCCCAACCCTGAGGAATCCCCCAACTCTGCCAAATCCCCCAGCAAAATCCCATATTTCCATTGTGCTGCATGCAACTGTTCATTTGCAAGAAGAGAGTTCTGGAAGGAGCACTTCTTTGAACATCATGCAGCGAGGAAAAGAAAATCATGCACTTGTGCCCAACCAAGATTTCCTTCACCACCTCCTCAGGTTATGGAAGGGAAACGATTTTCGTTGGAAACATCTCCTGGAAAACAAGACAATGATGAAGAATTTCGTGCCAAGTATTCAGCACCCTTGTGTGAGAACACACAACATTCATCACGCAAATCATTCAGCAAACAAAAGCATTCATCACACAAAACATTTCAGTGCACACAATGTAGCTTTAAATCTTCTAGAAAACAAGACTGTGACAGACACTATCTTTCAAAACATGCATTGAATAAGCCGTTGGCTTGCTCACACTGCGACTACACTTGTGTGCTGGGCCGGCAACTCCGCATACACATCAGCTCCAAACACACTATATGCAAAGCTTATCTCTGCACACTATGCAGATACTCGTATTACCGCAAGCAACACCTCACTCGGCACTTCTACTCCAAACATTCTTCCGTACACTAGTCACCAAAGTCTTGAATATTGAATCGAGTGCCTTCAATTTAATTACAATTTAAGAATTTGTTAATATATATCTAAAGTTTGCTAAGTACAAACGGGGTCTTCTAGCAATCATGAATTTCATCAACAAATTTCTCAGATGAAAATGTTTAAAATTTCTTTTTATAGTTATTAAGGGAATTTTGTATTATTTCTGCATCACATTGAGAAAAGTTAGTATTAATTTTGCATTCAATGGATCATGTGGTTTGGGTTTGAACTCATGCAGCCCATGCACTCCTAGCAACAGCAGTCAGCAATTGCTTCAGCATTCCTAGCAATATTGTTAATTAATTTTCTTGTTTTGTTTTGTTCAGTATTGTATGGTGAACTCTGAATTTTTATACATTATTATTAATGTATTACTAAATACTCTAATCGGCGACTGCATCATATACTCTGAGCTATCTTTGTTAAACGAATCTGATATTCTAAGCCCTCTATATGAGAGGAATCTTTCATTCTAAGCTAACTATGTGAGAGGAGTCTTTTTACTCTAAGCTAACTATGTGAGAGGAGTCTTTTTACTCTAAGCTAACTATGTGAGAGGAGTCTTTTTACTCTAAGCTAACTATGTGAGAGGAGTCTTACTCTAAGCCAACTATGTGAAAGGAGACTTTTACTCTAACCTAACTGTGTGAGAGGAGTCATATACTCTAGCCATCTATGTGCTTTCATAAGTTTACAACCATTGTGCATTAATGGGTGGGTCGGTCAAAGGCCGTTTTAAACCGCCCAAGTCTCTTGTTGTTTTCGTTGTAACTCTTAATTTTTGCAAGTTGAATTTCTATCAATAAATTGTTACATTTCTCATTGGGTTTGGCATTGATGCCACCACCTGAACAACGTAGCTCTTGATTAAGTCTTTTCGTTCCAGCTAGTGTTCCAGAGCGTCACAGTTCTTCACTATTCGTTATTAAATATTAACCCAAGTCTAGTGATGATATTTGATCACCTTAACGTTAAACAAGTCAACATTAGTGCCAGAACTAACTGATCTCATTAACTACATCTTAATGCGGCTGAGATCCAATATTGCCTGATGCTGTATGGTGTTGGTAGGCAGTGATTTTAATTGGGATTCTTCATTATTTCGTGTCAATTATTGATGTTAAGGTGCAGAGGTGTATGTTATTCAATGATGCCAAAAAGGCCAGAATGTGAAGCAATGCAAGTTGAATATTCTCGGAGACCGGTGGGTGAGCCTCAGAAGATTTCTAACTTGCACCCGCCTGATATTTCCACTGGCTATTTAAGAGCTTCGCAATGAAAAGAATTTTCGTGTTTAATTAAGGCGTCAATATTATTTCTCCCCCAATATTTACGTACGGTCTAGCACAGTCTCCCCCAATATTGACGTACGGTCTGGCTCAGCCTCCCCCAGTATTGACGTACGGTCTAGCTCAGTCTCATCCAGTAATGACGTACTGTCTAGCTCAGTCTCTCCCAATATTGACGTACTGTCTAGCTCAGTCTCATCCAGTAATGACGTACGGTCTGGCTCAGCCTCCCCCAGTATTGACGTACGGTCTAGCTCAGTCAGTAATGACGTACTGTCTAGCTCAGTCTCTCCCAATATTGACGTACTGTCTAGCTCAGTCTCATCCAGTAATGACGTACTGTCTAGCTCAGTCTCCCTCAACATTGACGCTCGGTCTAGCTTAGTCACCCAACGTCCCAACCAAGCAAGTATCACACACTCGTAAATAATGTTCATTGAAACCAGCAACGTTACTGTCATTTCGATCCAATTTATATAATCTGAATGCGTGAATAATTTAACCACTTTTTAGTACAAGCAGAGAATGGGAAAATTCTACATTTTGATTGATATCTTTTACTTGAGTTACACCAAGAAATTTATTCAGATGATAAAAAAATGTGTATGGATAAATGCAATTTAAAATGCAAAAAATATATATAATTTTTTAGTTGAAATTCTTACCAATTCTACATATTCGAGTGAATTTTGCTATTATTTCTATCTGATGTAAAAATAAAATCATTATTTTACACATATAAATTTTTTTTAGTTTTTTATTTATGTCAAAGGCAAATATCGACAAAATATTTTACTGCTTTTAGTGGCTTCCTCTAAATCGAAATGGTATTGTTTGCTTAGTGTAGCCGAGGCGCGTAGTTCTGACGTTTCTATCCCGGCCACAGGGGTGCAGTACAGGCGCTAATTATCCAAAACTACTGTAATGATAAAATCTATTATATATTTTGGAGCGTGTGTCAATGTGCGCTTGAAGCCTAGCGCTGTAAATACGTGGAGCCGTAAAGGCTTAGGTAAAACCTCAGAAAATATGGAGTTTTGTGGGTTTTTCGAAACTCTTAATATTTTAGTGCGCTAAAAGAAATCTTAAATCGACAAAAACTATCGTTTTATGAAATAGACGGAGATTTTTTAACACAGCGAATCGTACCTAAAATTTTTCATACGTCGTAATAAATGTAGAGCAGAGGAATTATTTTTTTATATCGTAATTTTTAAAGCAATAAATTTCCTGACATCCCACAGTCACGGCTCGCAAATTTAAATAAATCTTAAGTTGAATCTAATATCAGCAAAACTTTACTTCTGCTACACACCTTTGATCTGGTGACAAAAACCAGTTCATTGTCTAGGTTTTAGAACTTACAACAAAAACAAATAGCAAGTAGAGAGGAGGTAAAAACATCGCATCGACCTTTTCGGGACGAATTTCCATATCAGGTTTTCCACGCATAAGTATGTCAAATCAAATATGATCAGGACAAAATTATAAATTTAGATCATTACGCTCATGCTAGCATCGACAGAATTTTATTTTATCTGCTTCGTTTTTGATTAGCGCGCTAAACGCGCTAATCGGTTGTAGCAGGTTGCTAAACGGCTGTAGCACGTTTTTCACACACGAATTTTCCAAACGAAACCCATCTGGACCTAATTAACAGCGAAGTAATTTATTTACTATATACTCCTTCTAGCGTCGTCAAAATTATTTTTGTTTTGTTTGTTTGTTTGTTTGTACGCCAACTCTTAAAAGAACAAATGTAACTGAAATTACCATGGCAACCGATTCTCAAATAGTTCTTTCTTTGATAATGAATGAGAAGATCAAATCAAAGAATGTTTTCGCCTCTAATCGAGTGAATGATATTTTGAACTTTAAAAGCCTTGTTAAATCTGAGCATTCCTTGGAATGTAAATTCAAAAATGTAAATTCTGACTGCAATCCTGCAAATTTGCTTACTAGAGGTTTCACAATAAAATAATTAAATAAAAAGAAGTCATTCTGGCTACACGGGCCAGAATTCTTACAAACGAGTCACGTTCAATGGCCAAAAAATGAATTGGCTTGTATCTCTTTGAATAATCAACGTTTAATATCATGCGCTTCTTTGGAACTCCGTTCCGTTAGTTCGGTCTTCGATTCTGGACGATTCTCCTCTTTGAACAAAATGTTGGGGGTAACCGCACGATTATTCTTTGTTGCAGGATTGGCAAGGCGTGTTAAACTAACACGATTACAATGTCTCTCTCGAGCTAAGGAATATTGGTTGAAGGTCGAGCAGAGAGCAGAATATCAAAGAGAACTCGAGTTCTTGTCGAAACCCGAAGACAAGATCGAAGCGTGCCACCTCTTGTGAGAGACTTGAACTTGTTCAAAGATGACCAAGAGGTGATTAGATCGAAAGGTAGACTTCATCGATGTGCGCACTTGCCGTATGATGTCATTAACCCCCATTTTGCTTTCTAGAAGCGGCAACCTCACTAATTTAATAATTCGTAAATGTCACGAGAAATGTAAGCACATGGGCATCAGCTCGACCCTTAATGTGCTCCGTAATCAAGGTTTCTGGTTGCCAAAAGCGCGACCTAAAATTAAGAATGTGCTTAAGCAATGTTTCTTGTGTACTAAATTCAACTCGTTGGCTTACAGGTATGCAATACCAACTGACTTTCACAAAGATAAAGTAAATTTGATTAAACTTTTCGAAAATGTAGGTGTCGACTTCACCGGACATTTTTTCATTAAATTCGGCGAAGTAACCGTGAAGATGTATCTATTAATCTTTACTTGCCTTAACGTGCGAGCCATCCATCTCAAAATTATACCAGACATGTCAACAGCATTGTTTATTTCAGCATTCGTTCGCTTCACGAACAGATACGGTTTTCCTGTTGTGCTATACAGCGAAAACGCTCCATCTTTCACGCTAGCTGCGAAATTTCTTAGTAAATCCTTTTCTAATGACCAGCTGGTAACAGAAATTTTAGCGCACAATAACATTAACCATGTTCCAATACCTTTGTATAGTGCGTGGTTCAGCTCTTGGGAGCGCCTGATACGCGTTGTAAAAAGTTATCTTTATAAGTGTATTGGTAGGAGTAAGATGAAGTATTTCAAGTTCCTTATACTTTATTAACAGACATTCAGGAGGCGGTGAATTCGCGTCCTTTGACGTATCGAGATACGTCCGACATGTCTCATGAAATTATAACCCCTAATTCATTTCTCAAGGTTACGTCATCTTCGAATTTATTATTTGGCTCTGTCTCTGGGGAAGAATTTGTAATGCCCCAGAGTAGAGATTTAATTAAATCTCTAGAAATTAGAGAAAATGCTGTGGATCAATTCAAAGATTCGTGGTACAACGAATACCTCTTGTCATTAAGAGAAATCGAAACCGATTGTTTCCAGCCTCAATGGGAAGATAGAATCAAACTTAACGATATTGTCTTAATTTCTTCTCCGACCAAGCCAAGGCCTATGGGGGCCATGGGAAGAATAACTAAAATATTTGCAGGGCCTGATGGTCGGACCAGATCGGTCGAGCTTATCAAGCCAGACCGCTCGACTGGAGGATGCGCCATTTCCTTGCTGTGCCCACTTGAATTGCATCTTGATGAAATTCCTCAGATCGCAAATAATGACGATATATCTTGTTCTAATCAGACTTCTAATGCTACAGATCATCCACGCAGACCAAGGCGGGATGCAGCAAGACGATGCGTGCTTCGTTCGAGAGAAGCACTATAGCTTATTTCCCCCCCCCCCCGGGAGTGTGTGGGAAATTTCCCACCGTTTGTTGATTTTCTATTGTTAAGCTTGTATTTGAATAAAGAGTTGGGTTAGCATTAAGATAATTTTGGGTAATTTCGATTCCGTAATTTAGGAGGGTTAGAGTTGGGAGCCGAAAAAAAAGAGTAGACAGCAATACGCCAGGTTGAGGAGAGGTTCGAAACCAAGAAGAGAAGGTTAAGTGTTTGCGTCACCGCCTTAATATAGATCGCCAGCGCCGCTTCAATTATACTCAAGATTAATTCTACTAATCTTCCTTGAACTTTGCTGTGCCTTTACTTTATTTTGTGTGCCGGAGTTTCCTTTGTTTTGTTTAGCTGCTAACTGCTATGCTTTATTTTCAACTGGATGCTTCAGTTTCAATTAATTCTATTAAAATATCTTAATCACCTTAACAATTAAAATTCAATTTACTTAAAGTTCAAGATGGCGGCACTGAAAATAGCTGTGTTGTCACTAGCGTAAGTCGTCACTTAATTGTTCATTAACCGTCGTTCTAATCAAACTCTTCAACTATTCGATACTATTTCCTTACTGAAGCATCCACCTTAATCTGATTTCATCTATTTTCATTGAATTTTCTCTTCTAAAAAGTGTATTAACACACTGAGCCCACAATTAACTCAGGTGTGTTAACATTTAATTTTTACTATTTGTTTTCAACTCTCACACGAGACGTTGAAATTTAGCTGAAACGGTTACTTGTTCATTCACCTGTATTCAGCCTGCACCCTTATTTTTATTTTCAGTATAACTCCATCTGTTTAAGACAAACTGCAACTCTTTAGTGCCGATGACGATAGCATGACGCATATCGTGATGTCCTTGATTCCCTTGCCGAGAACATTGCCGACTCCTTCAGGTC